TACAGCCACTCACCTTGGGCTCCGGCAGAGGGAGGGCGGTATGGACTGGAACTGTGTGGGGACACTCTGGACTTGGAGGGTGCTTAGAGTTTTAACTGAGTCATGGTCACACAGGACAGTGGCCATCTTGCTCCTTCCCAGAGCTCTGGGGAGAAACAGCAGCCCCTTCCTCAGAGATTTAACCCCACCCAGGTGGGCCAGAGAAATGCAAATTGAGGCTCATTAACAACCAGCATCTACCCTACCCTCTGCAAATCCTCTTACACTGAACACCTGAGGGAGTTTTCCATTCAGCTGAGGGCTACAACCCAAGGCTCATCAAGTAACTGAGACTAATAGCCTTCAGGCAAAAAGCTAGAGGATAACTGAACCTTTCCTGGGCTTGCAAATCTACCCAGGAAAGTAAAACTTGACAGTGGTGTTTAATGTGGGTCCTCCCATACTCATCCAAACCCAGTAGAGGAAGCCACAAACAGTAGAACACTAACACCCACAGGGAAAATTGGACAGTATCCAAAACCCATTGAGACAGCCAAAATGGTGAAACAAAGAAACAAATCCCAAATGAAAGAACAAGAAAACACTAACAAAGATGAGATAAATGAAATGCAGTTAAGTAAGTTATCAGAGGTAGAGTTCAGAGCCTATATCTTGAGGAAGCTCAACAGCATTAGTAGTAGCTCAACACTATGAGTACATATACAGAAACATTGAAAATCAACCAATTGGAAATGAAAAACCACCAAGAAGAAATGAAGATTAGCACAGCAGAAATAAAGAACACACTGGAAGTAGTAACTAGGAGAGTTGAGGAAGCTGAGGACCGAATCAGTGAATTAGAAGATTAGAAAAAATCAACCAATCAGAGAAACCAAAAGGAAAAAACAATTAAAAAACAGGAAGACAGCTTAAGAGAACTGTGGGACAACTGAAAATGTCACAACATTCACATCATAGGAGTTCCAGAGGAAGAAGAAAAGGGCAAAAACTAAAAACATTTCCCTTAAGAACTGGAACAAGACAGGGATGCCCACTTTCGCCACTATTATTAACATAGTACTGAAATTCTTAGCCACAGCAATAAGAAAAAATAAAAGGGATCCAAATCAGAAAGGAAGAAGTGAAACTGTCATTATTTGCAGATGACATGATATTGTACATAGAAAACCCTAAAGACTCCATCAAAAATCTACCAGACTTAATAAATAAATTTGGCAAAATAGCAGGATATAAAATTAATGTCAAGAAACCGATGGTATTCTTATACACCAATGATGAACTCACAGAAAGAGAAACTAAAAACAAAATCCCATTTATCGTCATGGTAAAAAAATTAAGATACCTAGGAATAAACTTATTCCTATTTGCAGAAAACTACATGACATTGAAAAAAGAAATAGAGGAAGATATAAAAAAATGGAAGCATATACCTTGTTCATAGATTGGAAGAATTAACATCATTAAAATGTCCATACTACCCAAAGCAATCTATAGATTCAATGCAATCCCCATCAAAATACCAACAACATATTTCACAGAACTAGAACAAATACTTCAAAAGTTCATATGGAACCAAAAAAGACCCCGAATAGCCACAGCAATCTGGAAAAAGGACAAACTAGGTGAGATCACAACACCGGATATCAGGTTATACCACAAAGCTACTGTAATCAAAACAGTCTGGTACTGGCATAAGAACAGGCATATAGATCAATGGAACAGAACAGAGAACCCGGAAATTGACCCAAGACATTATGTCAATTAATATTTGACAAAGGTGGCAAGAGCATACAATGCAGTAAAGACAGCCTCTTTAATAAATGGTGTTGGGAAAACTGGACAGCTACATGCGAAAAAATGAAACTAGACCATCAACTTACACCGTACGCAAGAATAAACTCAAAATGGATAAAATACTTAAATGTGACCTGTGAATCCATAAAAACACTAGACGAAATTGTAGGCAACAAAATTTCAGACATTATATGCAGCAGAATTTTCACTGATACATCACCTAAGGCAACAGAAACAAAGGAAAAAATGAACACCTGGGACTATATCAAACTAAAAAGCTTCTGCACAGCAAAAGAAACAACTATCAAAATGGAAAGGGAGCACACTGTATGAGAGAGCATAATTGCCAATGATACATCAGATAAGGGGTTAATTTCCAAAAGATATACAGTGCTCATACAACTCAACAAATGAAAGACAAAGAACCCAATTAAAAAATGGACAGAGGAACTAAATAGACACCTCTCCAAAAAGGAAATATAAATGGCCATAAAGAAATGCTGAACGTCACTAATCATTAGAGAGATACAAATTAAAACAACTATGAGGAATTACCTCACACCTGCCAGAATGGCTGCCATCAACAAATCATCAAACAACAAGTGTTGGCGAGGGTATAGAGAGAAGGGGACTCTAGTAGTTGCTAGTGGGAATGCAAACTGGTGCAGCCACGATGGAAAACAGTATGATGTTTCCTCAAAAAGTTAAAAATTAAACTGCCATTTGACCCAGTGATCCCACTTCTAGGAATATATCCCAAGAATCCTGAAATACCAATCAGAAAGAATATATGTACCCCTATGTTCATAGCAGCACTATTTACAATCGCTAAGATCTGGAAACAGCCCGTGTCCATTAACAAATGAGTGGATAAAAAAGCTGTGGTACATATATACAATGGAATACTATGCGGCTGTAAGAAAGAAAGATCTCTTATCTTTTGAGACAACATGGAAGTACCTCAACAGTATTATGCTAAGCAAAATAAGCCAATCAGAGAAAGACAAATACCACATGATCTCACTTACTTGTGGGATATAATAAACAAAATAAGCTGATGAACAAAATAGAACCAGAGACATAGATAGGAGTATGGTTCAGACTGACAAACCTCAAGGTAGGGGAGCAGGGGTGATGGATGAGATGAACCAAAGAACTTATATGCATGTAGTCATAACCAATGGACATGGTTATGCTGGGGGGATGGAGCACAGAATGGAGAGGTGTCTAGGGGGGAAAAAGGAGAAACATTTGTAACAAAAGTAAATTAATAAAAATTGAAAGAAAAAAAAAGAATTTTGATACCATATAACTAATGTTCTGCTGGCTTGTTTGACATTTTCTTACCTCCTAGCCACATATATATATGAATTGTCTTCTCCATTGTTATGGTGCATTTCAATAATTGAGAAACTTATGATACAGTAAAATAATATTTAATCATGTAGTTTGTGTGTGTGTCTTTTAAAAGAAATAACTCTTTGACATAAATGGTTATCTCCTATATTGTCTTTAATCTTCTTAGAAATGTGTTATGAGTTACCAATTTGATTTTCTTTCAACATTTTTCTTGAGTTTTCTTTATTTATATGGTTAACTTATTTTGTTTGCACCATATATGATTGGTTATCTCTCGTTTTTTGTTTCATTAATCATTCCTTCTATTTCTTTTTTTTTATCCTCACCCGAGGATATTTTCCATTTTTTGTTCAGATAGAGTGGGAGGGAGAGAGAGAGAGAGAAATAGCGACGTGAAAGGGACACATCGAGTGGGCGCCACCCGCACAACCCAACCAGGGCCGGGGACAAACTGCAACCAAGGTACATGCCCTTAGCGGGATCCGAACCCAGGTCTCTCTGGACAGCAGGCCAACACTCTAACCGCTGAGCCAAACCAGCCAGTGCCATTGCTTCTATTTCTATTTCACTTATATATTGTCTTACTATAGTTTTATAATAAATCTTGAAGTCTAGAAGGGCAAAAAGAAACCTATTTATTTAAATTACTAGTAAAATATAAGACAAAAATCATGGTATTTCTTAAAGAGAATGTTTTATAAACTTAAGGGTTTCTATTTTCAAATTCCTCAAATTCTTTTTTTGAATCCTGACATGAGGATATGCTTTTATTGATTTTAGAGGGAGGAAGGAGAGAAAGATAAAGAAACATCAATGTGAGAGAGAAACATCGATCAGTTCCCTCCAATACAGGCCCCGACCAGGGATCAAACCTGCAACCTTTTAGTGTACAGGATAGCACTGCAACCAACTCAGCCATCCGTCCAGGGCACCTCTGATGCTAGCTATTTATTTTATTTATTTATTTATTTATCCTCACACAAGGACATTTTTTTTATTTTATCTTTAGATAGAGCAGGGGGAGAGAGGCAGGAAGAGAGAGAAACATCAATGTGAGAAAGACACATTGAATGGTAGCCATGCACAGAACCCCAACCAGGGCCGGGGACAAACTGCATCCAAGGTATGTGCCCTTAGGGGAACCAAACCCGGGACTCTCTGATCTGCGGGCCGACGCTCTAACCACTGAGCAAAATTGGCCTGGTCTCAGATGCTTTTTAAATGTATCAAATTAGTCACAAGCAAGTAAAAGACATATATCTCTTTATTTTCCAAATTAATGTCTTGAGGGTGAAAATTATTTATTTGCCCTTAACAACATATTCTTCTCCATTCATCTAAACAATGATTATAGAAGTCTCTCAGTGGTACCCAAATTGAGTCTCACTCTTAATTTTGCATATCGGTTTTTTAAATTGGACTCAATAATTGCAAATATGAAGTCAGAGGGGTTTGTAATACTGACTTCCATTGTCATTTACTCTATTTTGCGGAATCTTTGATATCTATCTAGGAGTGGTCATTCTTTTTGACTCAATAGCCTCTGTCTTCTAGCCATTAATTGGGTACCAGGTTGTTGGTGAAATGAAAGCTGGAAGAATTTTAGACCAGATTAAAATAGGAGTCAGTGCTTGCTTTGTCTGAATACATTCATATTTGAACATCTTCAAATGAAACATATATCTCTAATAATTTATTAATAATTTGGACTTATCTAATGCTTTATATAGTTCTTTATTTTTCTCTAGCTGTTTGGGGATTGAGAATAAACTGTGGAAATTATGAATATAGTATAAATTCAAGAAACGATCCCATAAAACACTAAAATCCAGGCGATTAAGACTTACCTCTATTTCTTTTCTTAATTTTTCATGTGTCTTATTTTCTTCCTCAAGAAAACAAGTTTTTTCAACAATAGATTCTTTTATAGTTGTAATTTTATCCTTTAGCTTTGTAATGTCTTCCTGTATGTTTACAAAATTTAAAATATACAAGTCAAGCAATGAATGATCAATATAAATCCAAGATTTTCAGTTTTTCTATAATTTAATAAAACTAGCCATCATATTCAATTTTGATAAACAGAATTAGAATATTACTTCTACAGTACAAATAATAAAAAAATTATTATCCAAACAAACAAACCTTAGATTTGAACATTTAGAACTAAAATCCAAATGAAATAACACATCAAGGATAGTGGTAGTTTTAGTGTCAGTTGTCCAGAAACAGTGTAAAGGACACTTGCAAGTCTCTAGTAAGACATAACAGATGTTTTAAGTTTGTCTCTCTCACTATCTTCAAAGAATAGTAAAAGAAATAGAAATATGTGTAAGTTGTAATTATGAATTCATATTGTTTATATAACAGCAGTAAGCATAACTAAATTGACTTGGATTGGTCTGGATCCATTAACTTAGAAGTTAGGGTTTCAACATTTTTATGAGTCACACTTTCTGCAACAAATGGATTAATTGTTCACTGTGATTTTGTTTGACTATGCATTTTTATTAATCCACAGGGAATTTGGGGATGTTTTCCTTTTTTTTTTAATCCTCACCCGAGGACATTTTTGCATTTATCTTCAGATAGAGTAGGAGGGAGAGAGAGAGAAACATTGATGTGAGACACATCGACTGGTTGCCACCCACACAACCCCAACCGGGGCCGGGGACAAACTGCAACCGAGGTATGTGCCCCTAGTGGGAACTGAACCCGGGTCTCTCCAGTCTGCAGGCTGACACTCTAACCGCTGAGCAAAACCAGCCAGGGTGGAATGTTTTCTTTACACATTTGTACATTTGGTATAGTTGTTAGATAACTCATGTACTTATCCAAGTTTTTAAAGTTATGAAAATAGTTTCTGAATCTCGTTAGAGCAGCCATGGGTATTTTATTAAGTTAATGATAAATTTAATAAGTGTACATGGAAAAAGAGAATAGAAAAAGTTTTAATAAGTGATATTTCAAACCTGTACTTGTTTCATCCGGTTTCCTTCTGGATTCTGGAGATCTTGCCTAAGTTCCTCTTTCATTGTTTTTAGTTTTTTAACCAGATCTTGTTTTTCATGGAGTTCAGTCATAAATGACCACTTGCTTTCTTCCTCCCCCAAACTATCTTTATGTGCTTTTATTCTTACATAGTACTCATTATATCTTATTAAGTGTTCTTCAAAATCTTCTTGGGCTGCTTCTATGTCAAACTGAAGCTTTACATTTTCCGTATGTAAGGATTTGATTTGTGTTTCCAGGTTTTCACACTGAAGTTTGCTATTCTCTATGGCAGCATCTTGCTGATCAATTAGCCTTTCTGTTTCTTTAGTTTCTGCAGAAACAGATGCTATTTGTTTTTCTAGCGCATGAAGTTCATTCTGTAAAATATTTCAACATTATTATTATTAACTCATGGTACTCAACATGAAAGTCATTTTTCAATCCATAGTGCATGTAGGAAATCACAATGTTAAAAATATTTACCAAGGATGCTCTGTGTGTTCCTAGAAAAATTGATGTATAAAGGAAAGGAGATATTCAGTAATATTACAAAATTATGTAATAATCTCAGTGGGAGCCCAGTTATCTATTTCTTATTTATTAATGTTCATATAATTTTAAGTACTAAAATTGCATTATTTGTCTTAACGTTTTATATGTAAAAGATATTTTAATAAGATATTTACATCGAAAGTACACACTGAAGAAAGACAACATGACAGAAATGATAAAGCCCTGGGTTAAAAAATAATCAAAAGACCTAGGTTCTAAGTTCACTTACTGCTATTTACTAGTTGATATGATCATACATGGCAAACTTAATTAAGCTATCCAAACCTCACTTTCTTCATTTGTAAAATAAGTATAAAGATGGTTATCTTACCTCTCTGAGCATCTGGCAGTTTTAACAAGCACTTCCTTTTTAAAATATTTTCTTTCATTTTTTTTTTCAATTAGTTTACATTCAGTATTACTTTGTATTAGTTTCCGGTGTACAGCATAGTGGTTAGACAATCATATACTCTATAAAGTGTTCCCCCTGACATTTCCAGTACCCACCTGGCGCCATACACAGTTATTACTCTATTATTGACTATAATTCCTATCCTGTACTTTACATCCCATGACTGTTTGTAACTGCCAATCTATACTTCTCAATCCCATCACCTTTTCCACCCAGACCCCCAACATCCCTCCCCTTTGGCAACCACCAGTTGTTTCTCTGTGTCTATGAGTCTGTTTCTGGTCTTCACATCACCACTCTTCCTTGGTTCTCCCCAGATATCACTGAGCATTCCTTCTCAGTCACAGCAGTTCCTTCAAATGCAGGTCTTCTTTAGGGTGCAGTCAGCATACTTTTCTCCTTTCATTCTATATATATTCCCTGGGTAATCTTATTCATTCTTACATCTTGAGCTACGTCTATGCTGATGATCCACAGGACTTAAGTGACTGTTGAGTCCTACACCTAGGTGTCACTAGCCATCTCAAATGCACTGTGTCCAAAAATCAGACTAATTCCCCCACTGTCACATCCTATTCTTCCTTGTAAGAATTATGCATTGTCAGAACAGTAAAAACTCAGTGACTTACAAAGTAAGTATTTATTGCTTTACATGACTGGGAGCAGCTGAAGTTGGCTAGATGTTGACCTTGGTTGGATTTGTTCAAATGTCTGAGGGTTGGCTGGCTATTAGATGATTTAGCTTGGCTGCCTGGACCAGCTGGGGTGTCTTGCCTTTGCATCACATGTATCTTATCCTCCAGTGGGCCAGGCCAAGCATGTCCTTCTTAGGATGATAGCAGATGCAGAAGAGTGGAAGCCCAGTTATGGAAGAGCTTTTTCAATAATATCTGCTAACGTCCCAGCTGGTTGCATGATGAAACTCACAGTCAAGGGGCAGATGTATGCCCACCCATGATGGGAGGGTATTATAATGATATATGGCAAAGGGTTTGAATATACACAAAGAAAAGAACTGGGACCAAAATGCAAATTACCACACCTCTATTTTCACAAATTAACTAATGGTACTACTTTGGGAGTCACCTTTATCTTTATTATCTCTATATAACTGCCACCAAAACAACTTGCAGGCTATCCTCCATCTATTTTTTTTTTTTTCTATCTAGTATGGCTATACTCTTCAAACACACTTTTAATTTTGGGAGGGAGTCACTGCACTCAAAAGGCAGACCCAATCTATCCTCTTCCTGACAAAGACAAGAGAGAGAAGTACACTGGAAAATACAACATGCTGATAAATCTCAATCTTTATTTCCAGTTAATATTTCTATTTCTATATCTAATGGACATATCAACTATACTTGTTCAGAAAAGAAAATTTAATTTATACACTCAACATGTTCCTTCCCCAGTCTTCTATTTTTAAAAATGTGGGTTTTTAAAATTGATTTTAGAGAGGAAGGGAGAAGGAGAAATAAATAGAAAGATCGATCGGCTGCCTCCTCCTCCTCCATGCCCCTTACTAGGGATCGAGCCTGAAACCCAGGCACGTGCACTGACCAGGAATTGAACCCCTGGCCTTTCGGTTCATGGGACTACACTCAAGCAACTGAGCCACTCCAACCAGGCTCCCCAGTCTTCTTGATTTCAATAAACTGTACCACTTTCCACGTGAATACTCAAAAATCTAAGTCATTCTTAATTCATCCCTTTATCTTACCTCAACACCTATTTACTTGACTGTTTGGCTTCCAAAATAAGATCCAAGATTCACTTCTGATCAGTTTTTTTGGCACAGCAGAGCTTCTAACTGGTCTTATTGTTTCCATTCTCTCCCTTCTACCTCAACTAGGCTCCATGTATTAGGCAGAAGAATCTTTTAAAAACATAAATCATATCATGTTACTTTCCTGCTGAAGATCCTCTAATGGTTTTCCACTGCATTAATAATAAAATTCAAATTGCTAACGTGGCTTACAAAGTCCGATATACTCCAGTCCCTATCTACAATTCTATCTTTCTCATATTTTTCTCCCCATCTTCCAGTCCCCTTTCTGTTTATTAAATATGCCTAGTTCTCTCCCACCTAAGGGCATTTGTAACTGTTCTCTCTACTTTAGAATTCTCTACCCCTTGCTATTACCTGTTAGTTTCTTGTCTTTTGCAACTTAGCTTTATCATTAATGCTCAGAACTCTTACCAGAATCAAAATATAAATTAATCACCCACTCTTCAACCCAGTTAGTCTCTACACATTATTCTATTGTATTTCTTTTCTTTTCTTTTTTTTAACACACCAACCAATGGAGTTACCATCTTTTTATTTCTTTATTGCTCCTCCCCTTACTAGAAAGTAAGCTCCACAGGTACAGTAACCTTGTCCATCTTCTTTACTACCATCTTCCCAGTACCTGGCACACAGCGATGCTCAATAAATACTTATTACATTAGTGACTAGTGATGCACATGGAATGGTCAGGAAAGGGGCACATACCCTGCCAAGCAGATAAAGCTGTTGACCCTGTTGATCAATATAGGAAGAGATGACATCTCCCCTGATTTGATCATCTCTTCTCTTTCCTGGAATAATGTAAAAGACCGTTTACTTTTCTCCTTGGCTTTAGTCAGTTCCTCCTCTCACTAGAACTATATTTCTTGCTGTTGTTGCTGTTCTCCTTCCCCTTCACCTCTCCTCCTCCTCCTCCCTCTCCCCCATCTCCCCCTTCTCTTTCTTCTCTCCCTCCCCTTCTTCCTTCTTCCTTTTCTCTTCCCTGTTTCTCCCCTTTTTGTTTGTTTACAAATTTATTGAAGTATAGTTGATGTAAATAAACTGCAGATATTTAAACTTTACAGTTTGATGAATTTTGACATACTTTATGCTCATGAGACCATCACAATGAGCATAATAAACATATCCATTAGCTCCAAAAGTTTCTTTCTGCTGCCCTACAATCCATCTTTCCCTCCTTATCTCTGTTTCCAGGTAACAATTCACCTGCTTCCTGTCACTAAAGATTAGTTTACATTTTGAGAATTTTATATAAATAGCATTATACAAACTATATTTTAAAAGTCTCACTCCTTTCACTCAACATAATTGAGATTCACCCTTTTTGTTGGGTATATCAATAGCTCTTCCTTTTTATTGCTGAGTAGTATTCCTTGTGTGGATATATCACACTTTGTTTATCCATTTATGTGATGGGCATTTAGGCTGTTTCCAGTTTTCTAATGGGCATACACATTTATTTCCCTTATGTAAACAAATATCTGCACATTGAATGGCTGGATTATATGGTAGATATATTTTAACCTTTTAAAAAACTGTAAACTGATATTGTTGCAACCTGCCTGGGTGTCACTGGGGCTGGAATGGGGGCACTGCTGGGCTCGGAAATGGGGTCTAAGGGTAGCCAAGGATGGCTGAAGCTTCATATGATCAGTTGTTAAAGCAAGTTGTGGCACTGAAGATGGAGAACTCAAGTCTTCGACAAGAGCTAGAAGATAATTCCAATCATCTTATAAAACTGGAAACTGAGGTATCCAATATGAAGGAAGTACTTAAACAACTACAAGGAAGTATTGCAGATGAAGCTATGACATCTTCTGGACAGACTGATTTATTAAAGTGCCTCAAAGAGCTTAACTTAGATAGCAGTAATTTTCCTCCATTCAAAATGTCCTCCGTTCTTATGGAAGCCGGGAAGGATCTGTATCTAGTCATTCAGGAGAGTGTAGTTCTGTTCTTACGGGTTCATTTCCAAGAAGAGGGTTTGTAAATGGAAGCAGAGAAAATACTGGTTATTTAGAAGAACTTGAGACAGAAAGATCATTACTTCTTGCTGATCTTGACAAAGAAGAAAAGGAAAAAGACTGGTGTAATGCTCAACTTCAGAATCTCACTAAAAGAATAGATAGTCTTCCTTTAACTGAAAATTTTTCCTTACAAACATATATGATCAGAAGGCAATTAGAATATGAAGCAAGACAAATCAGAGTTGCAATGGAAGAACAACTAGGAACATGCCAAGATATGGAAAAACGAGCACAGTGAAGAGTAACCAGAATTCAACAAATAGAGAAGGACATACTCCGTATATGACAGCTTTTACAGTCCCCAGCAACAGAAGCAGAGAGGTCATCTCAGAACAAACATGAACCTGGCTCACATGAAGCTGAGTGGCAGAATGAAGGTCAAGGAGTAGCAGAAATCAACATGACTTCCGGTAGTTGGGGACTTCTGGTCAGGATGGTGGCATAGGTAAATGTGGTATTGCCTACTCCCACAACCACATCAAAATTATAACTAAACTACAAGACAACCATCATTCAGAACCGCCTGAAATGGAGCTGAATGGAAGTCCTACAACTACAAAATTAAAGAAGCAGCCACATCAAGACTGGTAGGAG